GGCGAGCATGGTGGTGAAGGGCGAGCATGGTGGTGAAGGGCGAGCATGGTGGTGAAGGGCGAGCATGGTGGTGAAGGGCGAGCATGGTGGTGAAGGGCGAGCATGGTGGTGAAGGGCGAGCATGGTGGGCATGGTGGTGAAGGGCGAGCAAGGTGGTGAAGGGCGAGCATGGTGGTGAAGGGCGAGCATGGTGGTGAAGGGCGAGCATGGTGGTGAAGGGCGAGCATGGTGGTGAAGGGCGAGCATGGTGGTGAAGGGCGAGCATGGTGGTGAAGGGCGAGCATGGTGGTGAAGGGCGAGCATGGTGGTGAAGGGCGAGCATGGTGGTGAAGGGCGAGCAAGGTGGTGAAGGGCGAGCAGGTGGTGAAGGGCGAGCATGGTGGTGAAGGGCGAGCATGGTGGTGAAGGGCGAGCATGGTGGTGAAGGGCGAGCATGGTGGTGAAGGGCGAGCATGGTGGTGAAGGGCGAGCATGGTGGTGAAGGGCGAGCATGGTGGTGAAGGGCGAGCAAGGTGGTGAAGGGCGAGCATGGTGGTGAAGGGCGAGCATGGTGGTGAAGGGCGAGCATGGTGGTGAAGGGCGGTGGTGAAGGGCGAGCATGGTGGTGAAGGGCGAGCAAGGTGGTGGTGAAGGGCGAGCATGGTGGTGAAGGGCGAGCATGGTGGTGAAGGGCGAGCATGGTGGTGAAGGGCGAGCATGGTGAAGGGCGGTGAAGGGCGAGCAAGGTGGTGAAGGGCGAGCATGGTGGTGAAGGGCGAGCATGGTGGTGAAGGGCGAGCAAGGTGGTGAAGGGCGAGCAAGGTGGTGAAGGGCGAGCATGGTGGTGAAGGGCGAGCATGGTGGTGAAGGGCGAGCAAGGTGGTGAAGGGCGAGCATGGTGGTGAAGGGCGAGCATGGTGGGTGGTGAAGGGCGAGCAAGGTGGTGAAGGGCGAGCATGGTGGTGAAGGGCGAGCATGGTGGTGAAGGGCGAGCATGGTGGTGAAGGGCGAGCATGGTGGTGAAGGGCGAGCATGGTGGTGAAGGGCGAGCATGGTGGTGAAGGGCGAGCATGGTGGTGAAGGGCGAGCATGGTGGTGAAGGGCGAGCATGGTGGTGAAGGGCGAGCATGGTGGTGAAGGGCGAGCATGGTGGTGAAGGGCGAGCATGGTGGTGAAGGGCGAGCATGGTGGTGAAGGGCGAGCATGGTGGTGAAGGGCGAGCATGGTGGTGAAGGGCGAGCAAGGTGGTGAAGGGCGAGCATGGTGGTGAAGGGCGAGCATGGTGGTGAAGGGCGAGCAAGGTGGTGAAGGGCGAGCATGGTGGTGAAGGGCGAGCATGGTGGTGAAGGGCGAGCAAGGTGGTGAAGGGCGAGCATGCTGGTGAAAGGCGAGCATGGTGGTGAAGGGCGAGCACGGATAAGGGCGAGCATTGTGGTGAAGGTCGAGCATGGTGGTGAAGGGCGAGCATGGTGGTGAAGGGAGAGCAAGGTGGTGAAGGGCGAGCAAGGTGGTGAAGGGCGAGCATGCTGGTGAAAGGCGAGCATGGTGGTGAAGGGCGAGCATGGTGGTGAAGGGCGAGCGAGGGGGGAGGGGGGTGAAGGGCGAGCAAGGTGGTGAAGGGCGAGCATGGTGGTGAAGGGCGAGCAAGGTGGTGAAGGGCGAGCATGGTGGTGAAGGGCGAGCATGGTGGTGAAGGGCGAGCAAGGTGGTGAAGGGCGAGCGAGGTGGTGGTGGTGAAGGGCGAGCATGGTGGTGAAGGGCGGGCGAGCGAAGGTGGTGAAGGGCGAGCATGGTGGTGAAGGGCGAGCATGGTGGTGAAGGGCGAGCAAGGTGGTGAAGGGCGAGCATGGTGGTGAAGGGCGAGCAAGGTGGTGAAGGGCGAGCATGGTGGTGAAGGGCGAGCAAGGTGGTGAAGGGCGAGCATGGTGGTGAAGGGCGAGCATGGTGGTGAAGGGCGAGCATGGTGGTGAAGGGCGAGCAGGGCGAGGTGGTGAAGGGCGAGCATGGTGGTGAAGGGCGAGCATGGTGGTGAAGGGCGAGCAGGTGGTGAAGGGCGGTGGTGAAGGGCGAGCATGGTGGTGAAGGGCGAGCATGGTGGTGAAGGGCGAGCGAGCAGGTGGTGAAGGGCGAGCAAGGTGGTGAAGGGCGAGCATGGTGGTGAAGGGCGAGCATGGTGGTGAAGGGCGAGCATGGTGGTGAAGGGCGAGCATGGTGGTGAAGGGCGAGGTGGTGAAGGGCGAGCATGGTGGTGAAGGGCGAGCATGGTGGTGAAGGGCGAGCATGGTGGTGAAGGGCGAGCATGGTGGTGAAGGGCGAGCATGGTGGTGAAGGGCGAGCATGGTGGTGAAGGGCGGTGGTGAAGGGCGAGCATGGTGGTGAAGGGCGAGCATGGTGGTGAAGGGCGAGCATGGTGGTGAAGGGCGAGCATGGTGGTGAAGGGCGAGCATGGTGGTGAAGGGCGAGCATGGTGGTGAAGGGCGAGCATGGTGGTGAAGGGCGAGCATGGTGGTGAAGGGCGAGCAAGGTGGTGAAGGGCGAGCAGGTGGTGAAGGGGCGAGTGAAGGGGTGAAGGTGGTGAAGGGCGAGCATGGTGGTGAAGGGCGAGCATGGTGGTGAAGGGCGAGCATGGTGGTGAAGGGCGAGCAAGGTGGTGAAGGGCGAGCATGGTGGTGAAGGGCGAGCATGGTGGTGAAGGGCGAGCATGGTGGTGAAGGGCGAGCATGGTGGTGAGCAGCATGGTGGTGAAGGGCGAGCATGGTGGTGAAGGGCGAGCAGGTGGTGGTGAAGGGCGAGCATGGTGGTGAAGGGCGAGCATGGTGGTGAAGGGCGAGCATGGTGGTGAAGGGCGAGCATGGTGGTGAAGGGCGAGCATGGTGGTGAAGGGCGAGCATGGTGGTGAAGGGCGAGCATGGTGGTGAAGGGCGAGCAAGGTGGTGGTGGTGAAGGGCGAGCATGGTGGTGAAGGGCGAGCATGGTGGTGAAGGGCGAGCATGGTGGTGAAGGGCGAGCATGGGTGGTGAAGGGCGAGCATGGTGGTGAAGGGCGAGCATGGTGGTGAAGGGCGAGCAAGGTGGTGAAGGGCGAGCATGGTGGTGAAGGGCGAGCAAGGTGGTGAAGGGCGAGCATGGTGGTGAAGGGCGAGCATGGTGGTGAAGGGCGAGCAAGGTGGTGAAGGGCGAGCAGGTGGTGAAGGGCGAGCAAGGTGGTGAAGGGCGAGCAAGGTGGTGAAGGGCGAGCATGGTGGTGAAGGGCGAGCATGGTGGTGAAGGGCGAGCATGGTGGTGAAGGGCGAGCATGGTGGTGAAGGGCGAGCATGGTGGTGAAGGGCGAGCAAGGTGGTGAAGGGCGAGCATGGTGGTGAAGGGCGAGCATGGTGGTGAAGGGCGAGCATGGTGGTGAAGGGCGAGCATGGTGGTGAAGGGCGAGCATGGTGGTGGTGAAGGGCGAGCATGGTGGTGAAGGGCGAGCATGGTGGTGAAGGGCGAGCATGGTGGTGAAGGGCGAGCATGGTGGTGAAGGGCGAGCATGGTGGTGAAGGGCGAGCATGGTGGTGAAGGGCGAGCATGGTGGTGAAGGGCGAGCGAGGTGGTGAAGGGCGAGCAAGGTGGTGAAGGGCGAGCGAGGTGGGTGAAGGGCGAAGGTGGTGAAGGGCGAGCAGGTGGTGAAGGGCGAGCAAGGTGGTGAAGGGCGAGCATGGTGGTGAAGGGCGAGCATGGTGGTGAAGGGCGAGCAAGGTGGTGAAGGGCGAGTGAAAGGTGGTGAAGGGCGAGCAAGGTGGTGGTGAAGGGCGAGCGAGGTGGTGAAGGGCGAGCATGGTGGTGAAGGGCGAGGGGTGGTGAAGGGCGAGCATGGTGGTGAAGGGCGAGCATAGTGGTGAAGGGCGAGCAAGGTGAAGGGCGAGCAAGGTGAAGGGCGAGCAAGGTGGTGAAGGGCGAGCATGGTGGTGAAGGGCGAGCAAGGTGGTGAAGGGCGAGCATGGTGGTGAAGGGCGGCATGGTGGTGAAGCGAGCATGGTGGTGAAGGGCGAGCATGGTGGTGAAGGGCGAGCAAGGTGGTGAAGGGCGAGCATGGTGGTGAAGGGCGAGCGAGCAAGGTGGTGAAGGGCGAGCATGGTGGTGAAGGGCGAGCAAGGTGGTGAAGGGCGAGCAAGGTGGTGAAGGGCGAGCATGGTGGTGAAGGGCGAGCATGGTGGTGAAGGGCGAGCATGGTGGTGAAGGGCGAGCATGGTGGTGAAGGGCGAGCATGGTGGTGAAGGGCGAGCATGGTGGTGAAGGTGGTGAAGGGCGAGCAAGGGCGGTGGTGAAGGGCGAGCATGGTGGTGAAGGGCGAGCGAAGGTGGTGAAGGGCGAGCAGGAAGGTGGTGAAGGGCGAGCAAGGTGGTGAAGGGCGAGCATGGTGGTGAAGGGCGAGCAAGGTGGTGAAGGGCGAGCAAGGTGGTGAAGGGCGAGCAAGGTGGTGAAGGGCGAGCAGGGCGAGCATGGTGGTGAAGGGCGTGAAGGTGGTGAGGGCGAGCATGGTGGTGAAGGGCGAGCATGGTGGTGAAGGGCGAGCAAGGTGGTGAAGGGCGAGCAAGGTGGTGAAGGGCGAGCATGGTGGTGAAGGGCGAGGAAGGTGGTGAAGGGCGAGCAAGGAAGGTGGTGAAGGGCGAGCAAGGTGGTGAAGGGCGAGCATGGTGGTGAAGGGCGAGCATGGTGGTGAAGGGCGAGCAAGGTGGTGAAGGGCGAGCATGGTGGTGAAGGGCGAGCAAGGTGGTGAAGGGCGAGCAAGGTGGTGAAGGGCGAGCAAGGTGGTGAAGGGCGAGCATGGTGGTGAAGGGCGAGCAAGGTGGTGAAGGGCGAGCATGGTGGTGA